ATTAAGTAATCTGAGATTATTAGAAAATTAATAATTGATAAAGCAAACAAATTATATATTTTATCTACTATCATAGCTATAGTTAAAAAGATCATGAGTAAAGAAGATTTTGATATTATAGTTCAAAATCTATGCAGAATTAAAGTTATAAATATTTAACAAAAGCTACATAAACTGCTAATAATTTATCTTATTAGCAAATATAATCTAGAAGCTGATATTAAAAATGTACTTAATTTTTTAATAAGCAAGAATTATCAAGTCAAATACTTTTTAATATAAAATAATACACATGCAAGCACATACAATGTTATATAAATATTATTTCAAGATTTTATTTTTGCAAATCCTGAGTAGTTGGAAAAATTGTGACTTTTTAAGTAACTAATACTCATAGACTTCACACATAATATCAATAAACATTCTTGATATCTCTTTATATTATATATTTATGATGGTTATAAATATTAAAATATTAGTACTTATTTTCTTATAAGTAGTGAAGATAGTGATATAGTTACTAAAGTGCTAAAGACAATTCATAAATTTATATCTCATTGATATTCTCAATATATACTTTCTGATCAGAGTAGCATAAAGATTAATAATATTATGAATACTTTTTCAGGAATCATATATGATAAATAAAATTGTAATATAATTCTTTATATTATATCTGTAATATATATATAGCTACATAAGATCTATCATTCAGTAATATATAATCAATTAGCCTTGGTTATATATAAATAAATGAGAATTAATTACAAAGAGGTCGTTCATAATACTGTCACTACTTGTCCTGTACCTAATATTGTCAACTATATTAATCAAAATTATACTAGAAATATAGAAAAATAGATATTTTAGATATGACAGCATTTACTTTTTCTATTACAAGTTACCTTGACTAATCTATTAGAGTTCTTTCATAGTGAACTTAAAAGAATAATAGCTAAAATATTTGATCTTATAGATATTACACTTGTTTCATAATATTTTTTATTGTAATTTTTTACTCATCAAATATTTGCATTATATTAGAAACATGTTATAAGATCACTGATCTTGATAATAAAAGGTGATTTGACTTTGAAAAGACTGTCTTTAATTTTCATCAAAAATAAATTTCTATAGTTAATCTTGATAATAAGATTCTGGAAGAAGTTCAAAAATTTTTCTATTCTATTTAAAAGCTGATTACAGATAAAACTATTGCTATAAATGTGAGAATCATGAAAGGAAAGTTACCTGCCAAACCTAATATCATCAACATGCTCTTGTATATTCTTTTATAACTATCTATTTTCTTGCTGACATATTCTTCATAAGCATTTTTTTAATTCTAATAAGTTACTAACAATTAATATTTGGAAGAAATTTTAACAAATATTTATGAAGACTGATTTTAAAGTATATAAGTATTATGAAATGATCAAAATATTTGAGCCTATTCAGACTTAAGTAAAGAGAGAAGTGGAGATATAAAGATTGCAGATAGGTGAGTTTTTAGAAAGAATGTGAAACAAATATTAGAAAATTGTGGATAAAGATAATAATGATGCTACTAAAATATTTGTTACATGTTTGGATAAGTCATTAGATCTAATTTTTAAAATTATAATATAATAGTTTATTATTTTATAAGTCAATTAATTTTATAATTATATTTTTTCTATTATTTTTTACAAAAAAATAAATATGCTTTATTCTGATCATTATGAGCTTTATTCTTAATTATTAATTAATCAATATTATAGTTATCTATTAATCAAAATTATTCAGTCAATTATTACTTATCACATATATTTTTTATATATTACTTATTATATGTATTTTTTACATGATTTAGATCCAGATTAAATCCAAATCACATAATACTACCTGACTTTAGTGGATCACTATTTTAAGCTTATATATATATAAGTTTTTTAAAATGGTAATAGTTACTATATTTATAGCAATTATTTACTTTTTATAGCTTCAAGAGATTATATAATTAATTATCTTCTCAATAAGATAATATATATAAGATTTACTTCTGACAAAATATAATTATTTTCTTAATAAGATAATTTATATATATTTTATTTCTAATAAAATATGATTATTTTCTCAATAAGATAATTTATATGAGTTTTACTTTTGATTAAAATACTCTCTTAATAGAGTAAGAAGAAAATAAGATAAGATATATGATAAAATATATATATTTATTAAAGAATATACTAATTAACTACTCTTAATTCAGTAATTAATTCTTTCTACCAAACTTAATTATTCTTTTTGGTTACTTATGCTAATTACAAATTATTTTTAATATAATATTTCACTTAATTTACTCAAGAACAAGTAAAATTTGAAAAGAATAGTTACAAAAAATATTAAATATATAATAATAAAGAATTAAAATTAATAAAACATTAAATTATTCAAAGTTAAAGTAAGAAATAAAAGAAAATTAATAATAATTAATTAGAAAATTATTAATTTAATAAAACTATAAATTAAGTATGATACACATGGTTAAATTAATAAAAGAATAAGACTAAATATGGGTAATAATATAAATTAAAAATAAAATTAATTATAAATAAGATTAATTAATAAAAATTACTTATTTATCTAATTTAGTAGTGATTGGCTATTACTGCATTACATGTTGTGATTGCACTATATACTGCACCGCATCTACTACACCATATAAATAGGTGATTGATTACAATATTATAATTCATATTTTTAAGTATCTTCATTATAATATATTTTTTATAATCTGTCTTTAGATATATCACTTAATATTCAGATTGATAGAATATATTATATTTGAAATATTATATAATATTCTTTATAATTAGTTTTTAAATATATTATTTAATATTTAGCTTTTTTATTTATATTATAAATTTATATAATTAATTTTATTTTCATAATAACTATCAAATATATTTCTATTACTTTCTTCTAAATTCTCAAAATCAATATAATTATCAATATTACTATTATTTATAATATTAGAAGTAGTATTTGAACTTGTTTTAATTTCAAGTTTATTATTATTGATATTATCTTCTTCTTCAAATCTGTAAAAAATATCTCTTTGATTAGTTATAATTACTTAATTATAATCAAAAATTAAATATTCTTCAGATTTATTTTGAGTATTAGATATATTATAATATTTAAATAATCAAGAAATTATCTTTAGATTTATATTTTTTCAAGTAGTTTTAACTCATTATATAATGATAAAATATGTAAGATATTAAATAAAACTAGCAGGAGTAAGTTAATGAACTTCTTTAGCTATTCAAGTATTATATTATTAATATATCTGTATTAATAAAAAAATAAAATAAGATAAAAATAGTTTGAAGCATTATACTTTTATAATAAATTATCTTTATCTTGAAAGATTTATTTAATATCTAATAGTTTGAGATTAATTCATCAGAAATAACTATAATATTAGTTACTTTTTCATTAAAATATCATTTAATAAAATTAACTAGATATTTAGCAAAAGAATCTAATACTAAAAGAAATCAGAAATTGATAAATAATGATATCTGAGTATTTCACATATTCTCAATTCAAAATAATATTTCTTCTTTATTCATCCATTTTTTTTGTTAGCTTTAATTATTATATCTGATAGAAATTCTTGATTTTATGAAACTTTAATCAACTTGAATATAATTACAAATAATAATTTTTTATCATTCACCATGTATGTTAAAACTAAAGATGACTTCTTAACTATTGCAATATGATGACAAATAAAGCATTATCTAGTTACAACTAGTTACGACTTATAAAATTTTGAAGTTGCAACATGTTGCAATAGGTAACAAATAAGTGTCACATACTTGTTATGTCATCTTTAGCTAAAACAATCATAAAATTGGATTTTTCATATTCACAGATACAAATTTCAATTATATAAGCACCAATTTTATTAATCATTATTTGATTTAGAAGATCAAAAGATATAAAAGATTCATCCATATTATTAATTAAAAAAGCTGAATAATCAAATTATATATGTCAATATAATACAAATACCAAAAATTCATATTGTTTTTCTTCAAGATCTTTAGACAAATATTGTACTATAGTTGTTTGATGATAATTACTTAAATAATAATAATACAAAAATCTATTTAACTATTTATTGCTGAAGCTAAACTGATTAATGTTAGGATACATATCCTTAAAAGAGGGAGATCTGGCAAGTGCTTTTGCTTTGATTTGAATCATATTTCATGATACTTTTTTAAGTTGTGATCAAAGATCTCTAATCCATTCTTCAAGATTATTTTGAGCTCAGGATACTTGAATCTTGCACCTATATTAAGTTATCTAACTTGAGACCGGATATTCATAAGCAAAGTCTTGTTTTTTTTCCATTTTCTAATTTGTACTGGCTTGATATTAAACTCGTTGGCAGTTGCATGCACACTTCCTATTGGATGCTTCTCCAAATAGATTAAAATTGAGCTTTTCACATGCCATCCATGATCTTTTTTTGGTTTTAAGAACAGTATTCTTTATTCGCATATTTTATTACTAAAATTTATTTAGATTATTAATCTCATTAAATATATACAAATTTTCCAAACTTTTCTTACCAAGTAGACGTGAAAAGACGCGAAAAAAATGAAGAATGAGAGGTACTGATCATTACCAAAAACTAATCTTTTTAATCCAAATTTTGCAATATACAGATGTCTCGTTGCCAAATTTAATTATTAACGCCATATAGAATATCCCCCGTAATCAGTATCCCCATTATACAGTCCTAATTGTGTATCCACCACCGGGTAATGTATCCCCCCGGGTACAAATCAAGTTTCACAGGCCTAGAATGTAACATACCCGGGTACCCAAGAATGCGAATTACGGTAAAACCAATTGGACAAATTGATCATATGTTGTGGCGTTTGATCACTGCATTTACATCGTGGCATTATTTTTTTTATTTCTTTTGAATAAAAGTAATGCCTTCTCAACAGCACATGCCATCAGACGACGCACAAGTAATAGACGAAATTATCGCGTGCGCTCGATACGGCGAATATAAAGAACTTTTAGAATGTATGAAGTCACAGCCTACAATTTATTTAATAACAAAAAGTAATTTCGGAAATACTGCGTTGCATATGGCATGTGCTAATGGACATTTAGGTTGGTGTTTATGGTGTTGTTTTTCGTTTAACAGTTGTTATGGCGTGTCGCTCAATAGTAAATTATATTAAAATTACAATTACGTAAAATTAGAAATAGTAACGTATATAATAGACCAGCTCCAGCAATTGGCTTCATCGCCTTCAACTGACAACAGCAAAATTGCATTATGCATCAATATACAAAATGAATGGGGTAATACACCGTTGCATTGGAGCGCGTTAAATGGTCATAAAGAAGTGGTAGAATTGCTGATAAAGAACGGGGCGAATGTTCATGTAATCAATTCAATTCTTTATTATTTTCTAAGTAATCCATTGACTGTTAATGTTTTTTTCCGATGCAAATGGATTGATCGGAAATCAAATATGCGCTGGAATTCTGATTTTGGATATGTTGGATGGTTTTTGATTTCTAGATAAAAAATAAAGCAGGACGAACAGCAATGTATGAAGCCCAGCAAAACAATCATGAGAAAATTGTAGAGTACCTGTTAAATGTGGTGGATCCGATCGAACCACAAACAGTAGATGAAAATATTGAAGCGGATGAAAAAAAATAATAAGAATGATAATGGAAACATCCAAGCTGGATGGCCCAGAAATTGCTTGCATCTCAAAAAAATTGGAATTTCATAAACTTTACAGATAGATAAAAATTAAGGAATGAATCCATGACAATATGAAATTTTTGTAACTTGAATAATGTCCATCCCACACGCCATCCCGCCCACAGAACCCAAATAAAAAACTATTAACGTGTGCGCAATAATACATATACACGAAAACGCTTGGAACATCAATAAACGAATAAAAAATTAATATAATAGAAATAATCAAAAATTATTTATCAAGTTTATTGCTATTCTCGTTTGTCATTTATTTAACATGCTTTCCAAACGTTGTTTCCGACGTTCGCGGAAAAACTCCCGTTGACGATCAATCTCTTTCCGTGAAATGTCTGAAATCACTTTACGTCGTCGGAAACACACCTAAAGGTTCATCCGATTAGTAAACAATAAATATTCATGATAATACAAAAAGGAAATTAAAGAAAAGATCAGTTTTCTCTAACCTCCATTAATTTATGACAATCAATTAACCGTTTCGGCATGTTCTAAACAATAATCATGTGATTTTCGTAGATAAAAAATAATACTTCAAAATATGTCATAGAAAAAAATTAATTACCTGCACTACTTGAAATACTTCCATAGGATCATCTACAGCCAAGATTTTTTCCTCATTAATCTTAAAAATCGCCAAAGCAACACGAAACAATACTTTATGGCGCTCACTATTGACAAAAAATCACGTACATGAATTACGTTTGCTAACCTCGGATTCAATAAATTATGGGAAGATTCTCTGACTTACTAAAAAAAGCAATCCCAAACTCTAAGCATCGTCTCAATTGGTAATATATTTATATACAATGTTAAAAACCAATGGCTCGTAACAAGTGTAATGGTTGGCATATTGCCGTCCATTTTCTCTGGATCCCATCCAATCCCAGCACTTAATTTACCCCACATATGTGGCATTTTATCGATAATAAATTTCATAAGCACCGCCTGATCCACGTTAGCTCCCTCCATTGTCATATCATACATGTTCTCAGGAAGATAATCGTGGATGATGGCGACTAATGTCCAGAATGCTTGTTCCTCCTCCATGAAAAGTAACAATAGCCCAGCAATATAGTTAAGTGATTGACAGTAACCTATATTTGGCGAGTAAAGCGAGAACGCGACAAGCACACGTCTCAAGGATTGGATTATTGGAACATTTTCTGTGTCTAATGTGGGCGATGAGTCATCAGCAGGGGAAACGGAAGACTTGAACTTGATGTTTTCTGGAAATGTACGGTGAAGGTCTGTATATTCAATTTTTGAGAATTAGTTTTGAATAAAAGAAAACAAATATACTCGTGGTTTATAAATGACTAAAAACTTTTTTGTTCGATTGGTCACTTCATTCAACAAACATTACTCATCACATACAATAATAAAGTTCAAAAAAATTTCGCTGACGACTTATTTACCTACCTCTTTCAATTATTTCGACATATTCGTTCTCTGTCCGAGTTTCCTCTGACTTTTGCAGAAGCTTCTCGTACAGATCCGGTTGATTTCGCATTTTTTCCGCGGCCCCACTATAATGAAACCATACCTTTTTTTAAGAGCAATTCGAAAAGAAATGTGTTAGAAGGTATAATATTACATACAAACGACGTCCAAAAAAAACCTAATTGATTGATCATACTCACACGTCCTCGTAATGATGGTGGAACTCCTTTACGGATATAACGCTTGACTAAACAACATCAGGAGAATGTATCGAATATTATTTCAAAACTTTTTGAATTTAAGTCGGCCCATTTCCAGAAAATTTTTCATCTCGCCACAACTCATTATTAATCATATAAAACCTACTTTTTGAGCTTTTTCCAGGTAAGTTTCCACCATGTTCTGCCAACAATGCATCCCATTTAACTTTGCGACGTTGTTGGATTCGCGAATAAATTGATTCAAAGTCAGCATATTCCTTCCGTGTGATCCATTGATAAGATCTTTTAAATCCATATTGATCCCTAAATGTTTGATGATTCGTGTTAATAAGCATTTAAACACTATAAAAAGAATCGAAATTTCATTGAACATATTAATGAGAAATCGCAAACTTTATTTGCAGCCTTCACCTATCGGGATCTGTCGATGTTTGATGTATATTGTCCATTCGATTACTTTTTCGTATAGTTAACAAAGAATTACGTGTGGTGATAATTTCTAGGGGATGTGAAGAAGAATTCAAAATGTCCTCTTCATAGCTACTAGCAGAAGATGATTTATTCATCTCTTGATAGATCTTATCACTTATTCCACTCTCGTCGTTTATACTACTTCCCGATGGCGAAGACAAATTATGAATATCTCCTATTCTATGACCAGGAGGAGGGATCATTAAACTCTGCAATCCACTTTCATTCGTGCTTTTTGAATTCTTGCGCATACGTCGACTATAAAAACTTTCAATAGAACTAGCCCCGCTACTATCTCTTCTATCCTTGATATTATGATAATAATGCGAAAATACGTAAGAAGGACTAGAGGATGTGGCAGTAGGACTTTGTGGAATCGAATCTCTATTATGATTCGAACCATTAACAAGATGACTAGCAACACGGGGAGAATTAGTCACGGAGAAAAATGAGGTGGTGGTGGTGGTGGTGGTTGACGGGGACGGAAAATCATAAGAAGGCTGACGTCTTAGACTGATGACACTGTCACGGATTTTAGCGATGTTTAATGAAGGACGACGTTTGTGGACGTCCTTTGTGCTGCTGAACCGCCCTGGAGCTAGACTTATAGGATTTTCGACGTGTGAAGAATTTGAAATGTAGTCATCGAATATCGATGAGTAATGTGAGTCGCGTGAGTTACGGCTTTCGACAATCATTCACTTGTGTTATCGAATTTATATATGAAAAATGTGTTAAGCGTGAGTGCCGTTCAAAATCACACAGTTGCGCAATGTCTTCTAAGTCTAGTATATGAAGAATGTCTTTGAAATAATGAACTCGAGAATGGATCAGGGATCGACGAAAATAGTTGCAAAGGTTCTTGCCCTTTGACTTTGTTTTTTATTATTATTTGTTAAGTTCAAATGGTAAAGAGAGTCGTTGTCGTCAATTGCGAATTATTTGTTAGACTGTAGTTGGAAGGAAAGGGGCAAAAAAGCTTTGATGAAATGATAGATTAAAAATTAAATAATAAAGAGTAATAATCTTTCTCAAACGAAAAGCCACATAATAGCTTGCTTACCTTAAGGAGACGAGGAGAGTAAGAATGAGTAAGACAAAAAAAAATAAAAGATTGAATATAAAGAGAGTGAAAATAATAATAATAATAATAAACGAAAACAATAAAAAGTTCAATAGAAAAATAAAAATTATTATTTAGTGATTGATCGATGACAAACGTTGGGAAAACAACACGATACTAACCAAAACTTTATGCTTATAGTTGTTATAGTTGACAAATTTGAGACGATTGATTTGATTAAGCACTCATTTACACAACATCTGCAGCAGAAATTCAATTTTAAGAATAACAATAGAAATTATGAAATAATGTGTTTGATAGGTAAGTAAGAGGTGTTCTTATATGTAAAGTAAATGTATAATGATTCTAAATTTAAGAACAAAGCACTTTAATACTTTCAAATGCCTCGTGAGTGAGAGATACCTAATTTAGCATTTTCACACGTACTTGGCTTTGCAATGCAATAATGCAATAAACCTTTCAGGTTATGTGGCTTAATACATGTATTATTATTATCGTTATCGTTGTCGCCATTTGCAAAGAAAAAAAATTCCAGATTCATTCATTCGGATCGGACGTTGAAATCCCGCTTTATTACACAAATAAGGTTCAACCAATAATTTTCACATTTTTCCGATAGGATTTTCTCTATGGGATCCATGCAAAAAAAACTATTTTGTTCAAATAAGGAAATATTAACTGTAAATTTCAAATTTTTTTGCCAAGATAAAATACCCCAGCATATTATACCGGAAAGATTATTAATTGACTTGACTTCCGACCCTATAATAAATCGCCAAACTTGTGACACTTCCCAACTATAGAACATACTCATAAACATTAGGAGTTTGTGTGTTTCAATCTCTAAATCCAACGTATCTTCTGGATAATTTCAAAGCAAAATTTATTATGGTAATAAGACTGAATATATTATCAAAAAAAAGGAGGAAAGAATAACTAACTTTTCATAATTATCATTATACAATTCGATGACATTGTTATATATCTTATAATGGCCATAATTGGATTCTAAAGAGTTTTGATATTATTTGTAAAAACGGAGAAACGAATTACAAATTACACAATATTTTTACATTTATTATTTGATTCCACGATTCTAATGGGCATTCCAATATTTGTGACAATAAGTTCGTGTACCAAAATAATCACCATTACTTTGTTTTTTCTTTACATGCTCTTTGTTACATACAAGGCATGCTAATAAAATCGAAATAATCACAACCATATTCTGATGTGAGCTCATTTCTTATCAGGATTCTCAGGTAAGATAGAAATTTGAGGTCTAAATTTGGTTGATATACTAACCTGAGAGACTTTTTGAGGTTTGGCCGATACATGTGAAAATATTCATGGTTAAATCAAAGTCCCCCGATGCGGGCAGAAACATTATATTAAACTAACTAATCACCTCCTAACATTACAAAAATAATATTAATCATTTATTTATCCTAATACATCGAGTTACGCACTTTTTATATTCTCTTCAGATGTAAAAAAAAAGTTTCGATCTTGTCCATAGTGGATCCAACTTCATCAAAATCCATGCCGCGCCAATTGGTTCGAGTTGAACGTTTGGATTGTCCCGAACTAATGCATGATGCCAAGTTACCATTTTTGATTCCATCGCGTACTTCAAACAAGTCACTAATTTCTTTGAAATGGAACAAACAACGCGAATCTTTGTCTCTGCGTTGATTTTGTGCGAGGCGATAGGTCGCAAATGTATCCATTACTACATGTATATCGTATGCATGCTGGTTGATCCATGCCCTGTTTGATGTTATAATGAGAACAGGATCGAGCAAGTTTGTTTTTTCATAACTTTTGATTTTGCTCGGGAAAGATCACTCTAAGGGCCGTTGTAAGCAGTGGCAATGATTCTAGGATAATGTTCGATGGGTTAGATACTGTTTGTAAAGAAAAAGATCCTTAACGATAATATCCGTCTAATGATGAAAAAAATAAAGAAATATCACTCCCAAAACAAGATATTAAGAACATTCAAAAAAATTTATAAATTAAGTGAAAATTAAAGTTTACTACAGATAATTATAAAAAGCATTTTCTTAATAAATCTGTTTTCCTTCAGGCTTTTTATCCATATCTTTCTTTCGAGGAATTTTAGAAGTCAAAATTTCTAAGGCTTTGCACATGACGTAATGCTATCAGTATAATGGTTTTTTATGTTTAAAAAATGTACCCGACAAATGAAATCCAAACGGGAGAGAGCAAAAAGCCAAGAAGGGCAAGATTTAATTAAGTTCAATTATTTATTTGCTTACGAATGAATAACCTGTATGTATAGAAGCTCACTTGCTCCTATTCTATTCTTATCGAAATTCTTCCGGTAAGTGAATGAAATTCTCTTGCTCGCGCATGATTTGCTTAGTACTTCAAAAATTAATCGATCGGTTATTTTTTCTATATTTATGAAATAGTTAAATTAGAGACAAAAGAAATCTATAGTGTGATATTCGAACTCATTACTACGCGTACTTACGCGACTGATCACGGCTATGGTGATTGGTTGGTGTTATTAGAAGTATTTGTTGCCAGAGTCTTTTCAACCGATCCCTGAAATTTTTTTTGCGACCTGGAGTTGAGTAAGTCTTCCTTTTTTTTTTTTTTCAATAATCTATTTTGAAATAGAGATATTTTATATTATTTTTCGTGAGTTCAGATAAATTACTTTTTATTTTACATATATATATATATATATATACATGCAGTTTCAGGTGTCATCCATTTCGCAGAGAATCATGTAAAGATGACGCGTTGAATGAGTATACGATGATTCTAGTAACGAATACTATTGGCTTTGGTGTATGGTACGCGTTAACCAGAAAACGCTTCCTTTTGAATTTTCCTTCAGTTCAGGTAATTTTAAAACTTTATCGTTTTCATTGTCTTATTATTATTGATCTTTTTAATGTCGCTTAAAGATTCCTATTTTCCAAATTTTATTTAAGCTCGATTGGAAATCATTAATCGAGACATTCTGGCAAGAAAGATACGAACACCTGGAAAGACTCTTCATTCATTCTGAAAAATTATTCTTTACCTGGAAATTTTTTGATTGTAGTAGCGACGTTTACATTTTTTATGGAGCTATCAATTACTGATGTGGAGATCATTTTATTATTTAATACTATTGTTGCACAACCTTTCAAGTATATACATGTAATAATATTCAATACGATTTCTTTTTATTTTGGGATTTTTTAATTGATCGCCAAATTATTTTTTTAGAATCACTACATATGATTGGTTGGATGTTCTGGTGTTCAGTATACAACGAACGATCGCTTGCTTTTTATACTTACATGTTGGCCTCTGGCACATTGGCTAGTCGAGAACTACTTTACTCGGGTATGCTTCTTTGGAATGAAAAATTGGTCGATGGTTTCCACACAAAAAAGGTGCGATATGTGTGGTGATTGAGTGTGAAACTTGGGACATGTAGTGCAAGAATAAAGATTAGGATATAGATACATCTATTAGAATATATATATATATATAATTTCCTTTTAATTTAATTTTTTAATTGACTTTTTTAACTCTAGAACATCGTATCGAATACTTCAAATGAGGTCCTTTTAAACGGACTAAAGATGAACCATACATTTTGGTGTTTTGCGTCGTCTACAACAATTAATTTTGTTTACTAATATATGATAGCAAATTTAATTTTTTAAATTTTTATATGTCGTTTTATAGTCTTGCATTCCTAGAATTATGGCACATTGCAAAGGGCCCAGAATACATAATTCGACAAAAACACGTGGACAAACATAATACGCGTCTGTATCGAACTGATTTTTGACCTAGGACACGCGGCAAATACCTAAATAAACAAAAAGAATGATCAGATCAGATGATTGCGTGCCGAGCTTAATCGTGAGCAAAAAGAGAAACAACCTGGTGGAAAAAGAAGAGCAACACGACCAAAGCTGAACCCATTAAAAGATATTAATTCGTCGGGATCTTACATTCCTCGTGATTCGGAATATTGGGATCTAGTATGGTTTGAACGATTGAAGATGCGAGGCTTTGGATACCGTTATATTGTTAAATAGAACTATCGAGGGGCATAGCATTAATTTGTTGAAGAATAAAATATGATTGTACTTCAGTCGAAGGTAATATTAAATAATCATAAAATTCTATTTTATATTAATTATTTCCTTTTGTATTAATTCTATTTATTCGTTTAGCATTAGCCTCCTTAACAATAGATTCATTAACGCTGGAGTTGTATCACCAGACATTTCAAGGGTATTTGGATGTATGCTAATTGCGCTTGAAGAATACGCGAAAAAAGCTCCCATTATATGAATGGGATTCACGCACACCTTCAAAAGCTCATTCACGGGTATTAGCTGACGTAGTTGGGACTACAAATGGTAAGTATACGTTATTCAAATTGATCACTTTCTTTAACAAATAGGAGACAATTTACAATATGGCCGATCATTTACAATCATCTCCATAAATTTGCCTACCCTTCATTCGAAAGTTTGATCACCGAAAGACTATAAATTCGATTGAAGGTGTGGTTTAAAGAAACGATAGATATATTATAGAAAATAATAGTAATAAATAGATCAAATACAACTTTATATACAGTTTTGATCTCGGGACGCCATGTTCTATTTGTGAAAAGAATTCATAATGATTACCCCCAACTCTCGTGTATAAGCAACATAAATAATTGATCTGATGAAACCGATAAGATAAACGTGACTTTAATGGTATATATTTCGGGATCTGCAAATTAGTTATATAAGTCGAAACCAAAAATCGACTTTAGTTGGTCGATGATTTTAATTGACTAAGTCAACTTAGTCGATTCTAGGTGCAATGTAGTATCACGTGACCTGTATCCAATAGAATATGTGGCTTGTAACTTAAGTTCCACTGACTTTTCTCCGTTATATATCAATAACCTATTGAATATTATTACTCTCATTTTCAACTATTATTGTAACTAGCCAAGATATAAAAGAATTGCACCTATATAGAAGAGTAAGAAATTGTTAATTTCAAGCATAGTTTTTATGAAGTAATTGAGACAATTTTTTCATTATCATTATTATAAAAAATGTAATTTTAGCTATTCTAAATCTGAATATGAATTAAAAATATACTGGTTTTCTTTGAGAAAAAATAGATCATGTATAGTAGTTGGATGAAGATGATTTCTTTTATCTGTAATTATATTTTTAGCATCTGAAAATAATCTTTCTAAAGAAATTAAGATACTGAAAATTGCAAGATATCTTCTTGTTTGTATTATTATTAAGAATAAAGTAGATTTGTTGATTTTTCAGAAGGCAAGAGAATTTTGTTCTTGATATTGAGAGTTTTTAAGATTATATATATATTTTTGAAAGTTTGAAATAAATTTTAAATTTAATATCAATAGAAAAAATAATATTTTATCAAAAAATAAGATTTTAAATAAAAATTAATCTTTATTAAAATTATTTATTATAGCTAAATATATAAGATTAACATTAATTTTCATTAGTTTTTTTAATTATTTTTAGTTTATAATAGTTTTTCTGATATAAAACTCAGATCTTTGAATCTTGAATCAAGTAATATTACTAAATAATCTATTAAATCTGAATTTTTTAATATTTATCAAAAGATAATTCAATATCTTCTCAAGCAATTCAAATAACTTGATTAATTAAAGTATATTTCATTTGAAATAAATATTCTTGTAATATTTAAGTAATAAAAAGTATCATTAACAAGATAAAATAATAATCATTTTCTATAAATATTATTATATATACTGTATAAATGATCAAAGTAAATTAACTAATTCTTTAATTTTTATTAAATCTTGTTTCATTAAAAATAATTTTTCTAATTCTTTTACATCTTTTTAGATTTCTCTATTTTGATCTTTAACTATATCTTATTATAAAATAGCAATTGCAAGATAAAGTTAAACTAGTTATTTTAATAGTAAGAAAGTTAAATTTTATTAAGTTAATATATCAGATTTAATTATATTAAGTATTATTATATTTTTTTAATTGATAAAAAAATTAATTAATTTTACAAATTCTATTTGAGATAAATAAAATTTTTTTTATATTTATCTCTTTTAGATAAGAGACTATTTAAAGCTTTAACATATTCAATCAAGTTAATTATCTTCTTAGATTTTAAGTTATTAATAATAGAAAGTTAAATAATATAAGCATATAAGTAATACCAAAATTATTTATTACTTTTATTATTAATAAAGTATTATTGTAATTTTAATCAAGTATTTATTTATTATTTTTCATTTAGAAAATTCATGTTATAAATAATCTTTAATATATTTAGCATTATACAAACATGAAAAATCTTTAATTATTAGCATTTTTTATATATAATAAAATTTTTAGAAAGTTAATATATCATAATACTAATGTATAATTTATGAGTTTCAGTTTATAAATCAGTAATAAAACTAAAAAGTTTTTTAAAAAAGCAATATTAATTGATTTTCTGAAAAATATATTAATTAATATAATTTTTATTTGAAGAGATCTTGACATGGAAATTTGTATCTTGAATTAATTTCAATAATAATATAATTTTTATTTGAAGAGATCTTGACATGAAAATTTGTATCTTGAATTGATTTCAACAAAGATTTATTAAAAATATTACTTTCCAAGATATTGAATAATTACATATCATCAATCAATCATCCAAGAATTCTTGAAATAATTCAATCTGATTTGTTGGATGATAATGGTCTTTTATCACTGAATTTCATAAGGGTAGATTGATTAGAATTTTTGTGAGCAAGTTTTATTAATTTAGATTGTAAAGATTATATTACTTCTTCACTTAATGATAATAATTCATCAGTTTCTGTCAATTAATAATCTTTTCGTAGATGTGCTACCAAGCTAGAAGTACTTGTTCCAATCGCAAATTTTTTTTGGCATTGCTTGATTTCATCATTAATATTAATAAAAACAAGACAATAAGTTTCTTTTAGCAATAAGTCTTTTTGCATATGCTTTCATATCCAACTTTTACCAGATTTGGTTCTTTTTCATTTTTTTTTAGATTATTGTTAGAAGATTTAACGATGTTTTGATTGATAATAGGTTGAGTAATTAAGGAAGAAGAAGGAGAAGAAACAGAAGAAGTTAATCGATTATTCATTATATATAAAATCTTCATGCAACATCATTAAGTATGTCTTGTGAATTATTAGTTGGTCCGTCCCAAGGTATAAAGGTATTAAAACTTTCGTGTTCCATTTTTATTTAGCTTGAATGGATAGTTCACGTAGAAATATGACGCGTAATTTACCATTTGAATGGATAGTATGACGCCATACAGGCTGTGCGATCAGCACATGACATACTGCACATGATTTAAGAGTCTAATAAAGGCTTTGAATGACCATAAATAAATTCTATTCGATACAATGTAATTTAGATTTTAATATAACGCTAAAACAGTTCGGCACATTGTTCTATGGTGCATGTTTCCTTATCCAATTGAATATGTGATGCATGAGGCCAAATACCCTATGACACAATTCACGTATATATTATAAATCGACTTATTCGACTTTTAAAAAATCAACTAAATTAGTCGACTCATCGACTCAAGTCGATTTTTCGACTATCGACTTAAAACACTACTGCAAATATTGTTTTCGATTATTTCGGTTATTTTGACTAAATTTCGACATGATTTGGCTAGCATTAAGAAATTAAGTCGCAATTCAGGCCAAACATGCTGTGAAGTTGGTCATAAACGAGCCCTCGCGTTACAACTGCATTGATCCCCGAGCCTTGACAGGTTGGACAGTAGTCGAAGATCAATTGTCGTTCGCTGCCGTGCAAGCAATAGCAAACTATATATATATAATGATTTCGCTCACCAAATGTTTCACCTGTTACAATCTCGTAAATCATTCCAATATATGATGTACCAATTCACAAGTGCAAGCAGTTTAAAGATAATCTTGGAATTGTGATGATGGCATCATCGCGATCACCAGACTTTAGTCTAATTGAAATACTGTATAAGTCAAAAACTGGATCAAAAACCAGAAGCTGATCTGGAGGATGCTGTATTTGCGACGTGGGAATGCTTTTTCATTAGACAATTTAGTCTCAATGCCAGAATCCATTGGTAGATGCTTATACAGTGCTCCGCACCAAATTTTTCCGAGCACAAAGAACATTACAAATGCTGATTATGATACCTTTTATAGATTGGTAGAGCTTCTACAGTATATCAGGTATTGTATTTTCATAAATTTTCACGTCCCAAATATAATCAGTTATTTCATAACACACATCTCAATATCCAATAATCTAATTTTTGACGTCCAGTGACCCGATTTGAACAAAAATGATTCGTCTTGACTGGACGAATCAAATGGTCGTATTTTTGTTCAAATCGGGTCACTGGACGTCGAAATATTGCGTCTTAAAGTAGCAGATTC